AAAAACCCCCCCCCCCCCCCCCCATTAACAACAAAAAATGCTCGTGTGGATCCTACCCGTTCCGTAAAAAGTAGATATTGTCAGTCCCACATCCTAGCCAAGCCTTCTATTGTTGTGAGTTGATTGAATCGGAGTCAAATTTTTAAATTTTCAACTTTCCGAAAAACATAATTCGAGATATTCCGGTTTAGTTTATGTCCAAACTCGTATAAATAATGTATATTAGTTGTTTTGAATGTGTTGTATGCTGTTTTGTGTTTTTTTGCGATTAAATGGTATGCTATTTTTATCCGGACTAAGATATTAATGTTGCAAAAAATATGTAAAAATTGTGAAATCGTTATTATTTGTTAATAAAAATAGTAATAAATTATTATTACCGTTTTATATGTATTTTTGTGAATGTTTTGTGATTACAATGTATTTGTTGTGTTTTATCTGGTTTAAATTATTTATTTGCTTAAAGACTAGTAATATAGTGCCTTTTAGGGTAGTAAAATATAATTTGCCTTTTAGGTAGTAAAATGTAGTGCCTTTTAGCGTAGTATAATGTAGTACCTTTTAGCGTAGTAAAATGTAGTGTCTTTTAGCGTAGTTTCCCTGTAGTTTAAGTATCTCTTATACTCAAAAATACGTCAAAATAACTGATAGATCAAACACAAACTTTGTCCAATTATAGTCAACATATATTTGGTGCTACCGGGCCTCAAATATCGAGCCTGGAACTCATATATGAATCTTTAATAATTAAATATTGTATAAATTATAAAAATTAATTATTTAATTTACAAACAAACATATAAAATTATAAAACTAACATGTAAAATAATAAAACTAACACATAGAATAAATTGATGCTACTGAGCTCCAAATATCGAGCCCGGAACCCATATGTGAATATTTAATTATAAAAAGTAATTATTTAATTTACAAACAAACATATAAAATTATAATAAAACTAACACATGGAAGAATTTAGGATATCTTGGTGCTACTGGGCATCAAATATCGAGTCTGGAACCCTTATGTGAATATTTATTTATAAAAAGTAATTATTTAATTTACAAACTAACATATAAAATTATAATAAAACTAACACATGGAAGAATTTAGGATATCTTGGTGCTACTGGGCCTCAAATATCTAGCCTGAAACCCTTATATGAATCTTTAATAATTAAATATTGTATTATTGTAAAAATTAATTATTTAATTTACCAACAAACATATAAAATTATAAAACTAACATGTAAAATAATAAAACTAACCCATAGAATAAATTGGTGCTACTGGGCTCCAAATATCGAGCCTGGAACCCATATGTGAATATTGAATTACAAAAATAAATTATTTGATTTACAAACTAACATATAAAATTATAATAAAACTAACACATGAATGAATTTATGATATCTTGGTGCTACTAGGCCTCAGATATCTAGCCTGGAACCCTTATGTGAATACATCATAATTAAATATTGTATAATTATAAAATTTAATTATTTAATTTACAAACAAACATATAAAATTATAAAATTAACATGTAATTAATGTTGTTTAATTTACAGTAGACGACATGGAGGTGCCGCCTATTCATCCCGGACCTTCCAGCGATGCATTACTCTCATTACAGGGCGATCATAGGTCCGCCCACATATGAGAGGGTGAGTTACTGACCCAGACTCTCTGTGCCAGGAGAGTGGACGACATGTGGGACTTTCTGTATGACAAAGTTCTCCATGACCGTGTAGTCATGCGCCTGCGGGACACGGGTTTCTACAAGATGATTGAGATCGGGCGGCTGCACCTCGATTGGTCTTTGATTACGATCCTGATAGAGCGGTGGCGACCGGAGACGCACACATTCCACCTGCCCATTGGCGAGGCCATCGTCACATTGCAGGACGTAGAGGTGTTATATGGGCTGCCCGTTGATAGACACCTCGTTGCTCTGCTGCCTGCTATGAGAGAGATGACACGTGTGTAGTACCTGGACATGCTGCAACAGCTCACTACTTTCCAGCTAGAGGATGAGACTGTACTGCATGGGACCAGTCATTTTTCGTTGACGACTATTCAACTGTGGTTGGAGGCACTGCATCTTCAGATCGATGACGCTACACCGGATGATCATGTTGACTGGTATACGAGGTTGCTGCTACTCTTGTTGTTTGGAAGAGTCTTGTTCCCGAACACTTCGGGAAACCTAGTCAGCTTGAGATTTCTTCATCATCTTGAACAGCTAGATGATTTATCCCAATACAGTTGGGGCTCCGCTGTTCTCGCCTACTTGTACAGATGCATGTGCCGGGAGAGCATGGGCACCTAGCGTGAGGTTGCTTGATTCTTTCTGCTACTAGAGGTGACAACATATTCGAGTACTCTATTCATTTTAACATACCTAGTCAAGATGATGAGATTTCTTCATCATCTTGAACGGCTAGATGATTTATCCCAATACAGTTGGGGCTCCGCTGTTCTCGCCTACTTGTATAGATGCATGTGCCGGGAGAGCATGGGCACCTAGCGTGAGGTTGCTTGATTCTTTCTGCTACTAGAGGTGACAACATATTCGAGTACTCTATTCATTTTAACATACCTAGTAAAAATATATCTTAACTTTTACGTTAACTTTTTATGTTAGGTTTGGGTCTGGGAGCGGTTCCTGCAGTAGCAGCCACCTCTACAACCATTAGATCTGGATGTACCACCGGAGTTGCTCCCTCTAGCTAGGAGGTGGGTACTCCGGCAGGGACATACGCGCGAGTACGAGGCTCAGCATAATCTCTCCTTGTGTAGGGATATATTGGATTTGTTGGATGGCACATAGGTAAATGTATATCTAAGTTTACTTGTCTAAGTTTAATGACATTTTGTGTTCTTCCTTAATAGTTCATCTGGACGCCATACAGTGACGCGCTGATAGCTGGCTAGCCCGATTGTTGCTCGGCCGGCCGTGATATCTGGGGCTCTTCCGTCCCGTTGTTCTGCCTTGATATTGTGGAGCATCATGCCACCGAGCGGGTACTTCTCCAATTTTGCAAGCCGCAGCTCGTACCAACAACGCCCACCTGGGAGGCCATAAATTACCAGCAAGATGATCGTACCAGGGTGGACAACGCATATTTGGCATGGCTACAGGATCAGATATTTACTTGGGACTAGCGATTAGAGCTGATTCCGTCCCCCCTCCCTCCACCGAGTCGGTAGGATACTGAGCATGATTATATGCCCTGGTACCGCGACGTTACCCAACTTTTCATCGGGAACCCCATTCACCGAGCTGGCAATCGGTACGTTCCATACGCCGGAAGGCACGAGGCACTGGTATGTTATTTGGTATTCTTATTTATAACTGTGATATAGCGTTCTATAATTTATATTTTACATGTTGTGCAAGCTATTGGTCTACATTTAGTCCACCACTTGGGACTGCATATACAACAACATGTCGGTGATCCTACGGTCACTTTGCAGGAGAATGGACGACAGGTTACAAAGCTGGCTGCCCGGATACTGCATCGAGCCAGAAAGGACGACCGCTTAGAGCACGTCCCTGCTTATATGGCGCCAGAGCACTACCATCAGGGTAGGCCTATCCCACGACCAAGGGGACGACGAGACAAGGGTGTCCCACGAGGCAGGGGTGCCCTACGGGGTCATGGGCGCCGGCGAGGAGGTGGTCCCCAGCAATGGGGTGTTGAGACACCTAATGAGGATGTTGGAGCTGATATGCGGGGTTACCTCCCTAAGCCAGACGAGCATCCCAGCAGCATGCCAGCGTACAGCCTTCAGCTGGCGCTGCCTCCAGCATTATCGCAGGTGACCCCGTCAGATCCATTGTTGATCACGGGCACGAGCATTACCAGAGATTGGGAGCAGTTCTTTTAGGCCCATCGACCGTTGCTGAGGATCAGCCGACCCGAGATGTGGATGGTGGGCGCCGGCTGGGTTATGGCTCATCGTCGACGGGTTTTATGGATCTTTCACAGGCGCAGGTATGTTTG